TGAGTTGATTCCAAGATTCTGCTCAAGTTCTAGATCTTTCCAGAAGTCTTTCCTGACTACTCCAGCTCTTGTTCATTTTTCTTCTAGCACTTAACAACTTTTGGGTTCCAAGTAAATCAGCATTTAATGGTATATTGTCTTCTATCTTTTTTTTTCTTTTATCATTTATAATCAGTCAACATGTGTTAGCCAGGGTTCTTCATTGCAAATAACACAATTCAGTCTCATCTCATTACTAGTTTAAATAGAAAAGAAATGTATTAAAGGATGCAGATGGCTCCCAGAATCTGAGTGGGCAGAAAATAAGGCTTGGGAGCTATATTGTACTAATGCCAAAATTGTATTGTTCTGTTGCTCCATTGGAGACCCCAGAAGCCTGGGGGTAGTAAGTCCACGGTTGGGTACAAGTGTCTCTACCACTGAGCCTTTAAGTGGACTTCCATTCTCACCACTGATGCTAGTTGCTCAACATGACCACTAAGCACCTCTAGCCCTCCTGCCTTTGGAAGGTGGTTACTAGTGTTATGGAGGGGAGGTAGGGGATGGTCAGAATAGATTGTAAGCAGTGCCTCTGTCTTCACTTCACCCTCTTCTGACCTAAAATCTCATTCATTTGTAGAAACTGGGGCAACCAGTGTAGACCTAGCAGTAAGGAACCTTGTAGAGGTGAGTTTTCAACTTTAATCTTAGGGATAAACTCATAAAATGATGGGAGTTCCCAAACATAGCATATTCAAAGTTTATCTTATATTAATTCATTTGATTTATTACCTAAAATACAGAGCACTCAAGAGGTACCTGCTGGTTTATCACTATTCAGTGTCCTTCATTAAAACGGTACTTTGGGGATCATCTAATCCACACCTTTTGTATTACAGAAGAGCAAACTGACTCAGAGCAAAAAAAAAAAAGAATGTATTCTAGGAAAGATTCCAGACGGCATAACACAATGCACAGTGATGTAATAGTCTTTTTTTTTTTTTTAGATTTTTAAAGATTTTATTTATTTATTTGAGAGAGAGATAGCGAGAGCGGGAACACAAGCAGGGGGAGTGGGAGAGGGAGAAGCAGGCTTCCTGCTGAGCAGAGAGCCCGATGCGGGACTCGATCCCAGGACCCTGGGATCATGACCTGAGCCGAAGGCAGATGCTTAACGACTGAGCCACCCAGGCGCCCAATGTAATAGTCTTCTTATGCTGAGAATTGTTTGTGTGCATTATTGTGAAAGTACTAGCTATTCATGTTCTTGATATTTTTGGAAATACTCCAAAATTATAGATTTGAAAAATAAATGTATTAGTTTTATTATTTCTATTTTGTTATTTGAGGCAGTCTGCTATGTCCCCCAACATCTTTTTACCCCTTTCACAGTAACAGAAACCCTACATTTTTTCTGGGCCATGACCACTAACAATAAAGATAATGTTCCCAGTCTCCTTTGCAGCTGTGTGTGGCCATGTGATTACATTCTGCATAATGAGATGTAAACAGAATTGTATGCAACTTCTGGGAAATGTTCTTAAAATGTGTTGTTTTTTCCTCTTTCCTACTGACTGGAATGTAGTTGGAGCTCTAGAAGCCATCTTGGACAATGAGGTGAACTTGAGAATGAGATGCTTATGTGGTAAAGCAAGAAGACAGGAGCCTGGATTCCTAACACTGTGGAACCCCTTACCAACTGGACTCATTACCTCCAGATTTCTTTCTTTCTTTCTTTTTTGAGATTTTATTTATTTATTTGTCAGAGAGAGAGAGAGCACAAGCAGGGGGAGTGGCAGGCAGAGGGAGAAGCAGGCTCCCTGATGAGCAGGGAGCCCAAAGTGGGACTGATTCCAGGACCCTGGGATCATGACCAGAGCCAAAGGCTGACGCTTAACTGACTGAGCCACCCAGGCATCCCCCTCCAGATTTCTTATACATGAGAAACAAATAAGCTTTTTTTTTTTGTTTCTTGCTATTTCAGTTTATTTTAGTTTTTTTTCTGTTATTTGTAGCTGAATCAGATCTGAATTTATTATTCCTGGCCAGCGCCACCTCAGTTGCTAATGCTGATGTAGACCTGATTGGGTGATATAATCCCAACTTGGGCACGTCATGTACAAGCCAGGGACAAATGGATGCCACAGTCTTGAGATGTAGTCCCCAAATACACAGCAGACCACTACCACCAGCCAGCCCAGCACTCACCTAAGTGTTAAGCCCAAATAACACCAACCAATCAACAAGAATATGAGACTTCACTTTCTTAATAGATACAGATAGAAATAGTTCATGGTCTTTTGGTTGTAAAAGATGTACTCCATTCCTCTTTTTTCAAACCTCATCTCTGGACTGGGTGGGTACTCTGCTTGTCAGAAAAACTTTTACACTCCAGACTCAATCTTTGCTCTTTAATAGTCTGTTTTTTTCTTTAATACTATTCGTTTTTAAAAACATTAAACTCTTTGGGTGCCTGCCTGGCTCAATCAGTACAGCATGCGACTCTTGATCTCAGGGTTGTGAGTTTGAGCTCCATGTTGGATGTAGAGATTAAAATAAAATCTTTGAAACAAACAAAAAACCATTAAGCTATTTTTTTTTAAGATTTTATTTATTTATTTATTAGAGAGCGAGCGAGAGAGAAACAGCATGAGAGAGGAGAGGGTCAGAGGGAGAAGCAGGCTCCCCGCTGAGCCGGGAGCCCGATGTGGGACTCAAGCCCAGAACCCTGGGATCATGACCTGAGCTGAAGGCAGTCGCTTAACCAACTGAGCACCCAGGCGCCCCATTAAGCTATTTTAAAAGCGTGCTAATGACATGGTCTGTGGGAAAGCTATCTTTAGATCTCTGGTGAAATTGCTATGGAAAATATATTTCTAGTATTCCTCACATATGAACAAAAAGGACAATTAATCTTGACAATAATATGTCAGTGATAGTTATATTCACATGGGCCCACAAATAACTTACCAAAGTCTTTTTTTTTTTTTTAAAGATTTTATTTATTTATTCATAAGAGACAGAGACAGAGAGAGAGAGAGAGAGAGAGAGAGAGGCAGGCTCCCCGCTGAGCAGGGAGCCCGATGCGGGACTCGATCCCAGGACCCTGGGATCATGACCTGAGCCGAAGGCAGATGCTTAACCATCTGAGCCACCCAGGCACCCTAACTTACCAAAGTCTTTACATTTTCTCAAAGGGTCAAACATTCTAAAGATTATATGGATAACAACAACAACAAAAAGATTATATGGATAACAGGTGACATTAAGTACTATAATTTCATCCTCCTCATAACCCTATTCAGTAGGTCCTGTTATTAATACTGAGAAAACAGAAGCACAGTCAATGTCACTAAGTAGTAAATGATGGAACTGAGGTTCAAATCCTCAGAGCTTCTGCTCTGGGCTTTTGTGTGTGGGAGTAGGTGAGGGGACATATAACTTTTCAATTTTTTGAAGTGCTTTTACATTTACTTTATTTGTGTGGAATATACACTGTAATCTGGATAATTGGAAGAATGCCTCTTGCCTCAGTTATTCAGACTTTTGAAGTTGACACAATTCTTCAAATTAATATTAATTTTCTTTCTTTTTAAAAATATTTTATTTTTAAGTAATCTCTACTCCCAGCATGGTGCTCAGACTTACAACCCCAGAGATCAAGAGTTGCATGCTCTACCCACTGAGCCAGCCAGGCACCCCAGTGGTCATTTTCTTAATTGCTTAATATTAACATATATTATCTTGCATGTATAGATATAAATAAATATGTTTTATATATATTTTTACATAAATAAATGTATAAATAAAATCATAAAATTAAAGAAAATGTGGTACATGTACATATTTGCATACATAACTTTATAGATAATATAGCTTGCAATTTATTTTATCTTATTCTTCTCACACATTTGATTTATTCTTTTATAATTTTATTATTTATTTATTATTAAAAAGATTTTGTCAGAGAGAGAGTAGCAGGCAGAGGGAGAAGCAGACTTCCTGCTGAGCAGGGAGGCAGACTCAGACTCAGTCCCAGGGCCCTGGGATCATGACCTGAGCCGAAGGCAGACGCTTAACCAACTGAGTCACCCAGGCGACCCTCTTTTATAATTTTAATAAAATACTTCAAGCTGTAGAAAAGTAGAGAGAATAATGTTGCAACACTACTCATCTTCGTGGTTTGTCAAATCTTGATGCTGTATTTGCTACAGATAACTTTTTTTGTTTTTTGAATAATGTATTTATATGTTTAAAAAAGGTATAGGGGCGCCTGGCTAACTCCGTTGGGAGAGCGAGTGACTCTTGATCTCAGGGTCATGGTCATGAGTTCAGACCCTACTTTGGGGTAAAGCTAAAAAAAAAGGTACAGAGTTAAGTCCCCAACCTACCTCATCCCATATGCCCAGTTCCCATCCCCATTAGTTACCTATTTATTTTCCTCACTTGTGTGAATGGGCGGGCAAGTAAGTAAATACGAATATATTTGGACTCACTTTTTTTAAGTAAACTCTACCAAGTGGGGCCTGAACTTACTACCCTGAGATCAAGAGTCGCATGCTCTATGGACTGAGCCCGTCAGGCTCCCCTTAACTCACTTAAAAAAAAAAAAAATTAAAGGTAACGTGTTTTTTACATTTTTGTGTCTACACTCCTAACACTAACGCTTTACCACCCCTTTCCTCAGCTCATTATTCAATAAACAATAAAACTCAATGTTCAAGGAATTGTTATTAACTCTGAAGAATCGGTAGTTTCTTATCAAATTCTTTCGCCTCTATTCTTTCTGCTCCATCCACAAGCCAGTTTTCTAGAGCACAGACGTTTCCCCAAAGTCTAACGCGCCTAGAGCGAAACAAACACGAGCTTTAAGCAAATAAAGTTCACCTCCTCTAAGGAATTCCGGAGGGCGGAGGCGGCGGGAGGGGCGCCGTGGGGGGCGGGACCCCGGGAAGGGGGAGACGGACGCGGGTGGGCGGTGCCTGTGGGGGGGCGGGTCCCGCGGACTCCGCCCAAGCCCTGCGCAGATTTGGCGCCAAACGCCGAGGCCCCTTCTCGCGGCGGGATCTCCAGAGTCTCGCGATCAACGCCGTGTGGCAGCGGCGCTTAGCCCCGCGCTCCACCCCGCGCTGTGGCCGCCGCCGTGCGCCTGAGGTGAGAGTGGGCACGCGGGCGAGTGGAGGGCCTGCGAGAAGCGGCGGTCGAGCGAGGGGGACGGAGGAGCGGGGTGCTGGGGAGTCGCGGGGAGGGGGTGTGGAGGCGGGAGGAGCAGACAGACGGACCTGGGCAGAGCGGGACTGGCGAGGCCGCGCCCTGTGGGGAAGAGGGCGGGCACTTTTACCTGTCGTTTTTCTTTCGGGTCGGCCGCTCGCCAAACGCAGCCTTTTAGCGGGAGGGAACGTGCATCAGTCCAGGGGCTTCTAAGCATAGAAAGCGTCCTGTGAATGTGGGATGAATGGATGAATGAAGTTGAAGGGAGACTGGGGGGGGGTGCGGGGATGGGAAGGGTGGAGGGGGGGATGGGGTGGGAGAGTGGTTTTAGGGTGGCTAGCAAAGGAGGACATTGAGTCAGTCTGGTGGGACTTCCCTTTCGACACGGGCTACTGTTTTGATAATTTGGATGAAGTTGGACATGGGACCCCTAAGGGTCTGGGAACGAATTGGAGTTTGGGTATTAAATTTCTTAGTTACCTTCACTTCTGTGAGAGTTTGAGGACTGGGGGCGGGGGCGGGGAAGCTAAGAGAATTCCATCGATGTCTAAAAACAGTATGCAACCACCATCAAGAAGTGAAAGATAAGAGCTGCCTTATTCACAGCCAGTTTGCTGACAGACCCCACCCCATGCTTGGCCAGTTCCTTACGTTGCATCTTGCTACACTTAATATAGTTTGTGCCCTGCCGTCAAACTCACAGCTCCCTGTTCTCAAAAGTGTGAACTCCCATTTCTTCCCAAAGAAACTTGACTAGAATTAAAACTTAACTTGAATATCCTTATTGTAGCTAGAAGGCTACTTTAGATTATATGACCTCTAACTGCCTTTCCAATTTTGAAAATCTGTGGTTATTGAACCTTACTTGAAGATAAGATGGGTCATCAAAAGGAGTTGATAACGTTGTTATGTATCTGTGGTCATGGAAATTTAGAATCGGAGAGCCTTTAGGGGTCATTTAGTTCTAGTAGTATTACAGTTTGAAGGAAGCTTTGGAATCTTTATTCTGTCATTCAACAAATATTTATGGAGCATCTGCTGTATACCAGCTTTGGGGATACAGTGGTGGAGCACAAAGAGACTCACCTGGTCTTTGCCTTTTTATTTTTATTTTATTTTTTTTTTAAAGATTTTATTTATTTATTCATGAGAGACACAGAGAGAGAGAGGCAGAGGGAGAAGCAGGCTCCCAAGGAGCAGGGAGCCCAATGCGGGACTTGATCCCAGGACCCTGGGATCATGACCTGAGCCGAAGGCAGACGCTTAACCATCTGAGCCACCCAGGCGCCCTGGTCTTTGCCTTTTTAGAGCTGCAGTCTAGTATGGAAGACAAACATTAGATAATCACAGAAATGGAATATAATATTGAAACTGGGTAAATGCTATGAAATTGGTACTTGACACTTTGAATGCTTATTATAGGAGGATTTAATTCAGGGAAATTGGGGTAGACTTATCTGAGGAGGTGAGAGTTGAGATCTGAAAGAGATAAGGAGTCCCGGTAAGAGCCTTCAAGATAGGAAACAGCCTTAGCAAAGGACTCATGGCCCGAGGGATGTGGCTCTTTCAAGAAACTGAAAGAAAAGATCATGAAGAATTGTGTGAAGTGAGGCTGAAGAAGTAGGAAGGTGCCAAACCAGACAGAGCCTTGGAGTTTTTTTTGTTTTTTTTTTAAATATATATTATTATTATTATTTTTTATTGTTATGTTAATCCCCATACATTACATCATTAGTTTAAATGTAGTGTCCCATGATGAGCCTTGGAGTTTTATCATTAGCCCAAGAGCAGTAGGAAGCCATTGAAATATTTAAGCTAAGTGGTAATGTGATTGGCTTTATATTTCCAGACCTTCAGTCTAGCTGTAATATGGAGAATGGTTTGAAAAAGGCAAAAGTGGTTATGAGTAATGGAGTAACCAAAGGAAGAAATGTTAGGAAGTGGTTGTGGAGATAGGGAGAAATGAAAGACTTAACTGATGTTTAAGAAGTAGAATGGACAGGATATGTAGGATGGGGGAAGGAAGTATCAAGAATGACTTACAGGTTTCTTACTTGCATGGCAGGATAGATATCACCCACTGAATTGGGAAAATTTAGAAGTTTGGTTTTGTACATGAGAAGTTATAGTTGCCTTTGAGAAATTGAAGAGCTATAAAATGAGAAGTAGGGATCTGGAGCTTAGATTTGATGGTATCTCTGGGTAGAGAAAAAATTAGAGATATTCATCTATAAATGATTATTAAAATCATGTACGTAAAGAAGTGAAGAGGGCCTAGGATGGCCTTACTGACCAGATTAGGGGAAGATGAATCTGCACAGAAGATCCAGGAGGAGTGTCCAGAAAGGGAGGAAAACCAAGTAAGTACTGTGATTCAGAAGCCAACAAAACTGCTTTTCCAGAAAAAGAAACTGATCAAAAGTGTTAGCTGTTGCTAAGAGGTCAAGTTCGATGGTACTGAAAAGCATCCTTTCAGGTTATCAACCTGAGGATTATTTCCCTTCTGTCAAAGGAAACCTTAACTAGAAGAGGAATATGTAAACAGATTTTTTAAAAGCTACTCTGGTTATAGTGGGGGTGAGGTACCTGAACCCTGCCTATTTCACACCCATTTGGACCATAGTTTGAAACCCTCTGAGGGGAGACTCAACAGTTGAGGTAAAATGATTTGCTGAAAATCATGCAGTTACTGGGTGGTAGGGTCTATGTTAGAACTCACTTCTTCTGATTTCTAACCTGGTTTTTTCCCATAACTACTCTCTACTTCTTTTCATGATGTGAGTTTGAAATACAGTTTAACCGACTGAAACACGTGCATTTTGCTGCAGGTGGAACTTAACTGTGTAATAAGGAGACTACTTGGATGCATAAACAGGTTTATTTATTTTCCTGTAGAGGAAAAGATGCTGGAGCCACAGGGGAATGGCTTGAGTGACCTCCCAGATTATGAGCATGTAGAAGATGAAACTTTTCCTCCTTTTCCACCTCCAGCTTCTCCACAGAGAGAAAATGGTGAAGGAGCTGAACCTGATGAAGGTTTGTATAGAATTCCAAAAAAGTGCCTGTGTTCAGTTATCCATCTATTAGCATAGAAATGATACATTTTATAGATGAGGCTTAAATTATTTAAGTAATATCAAATCTTGGTATATTTCACCAGAGTCAGGGAGAGGAGCACCTGTTCCTGTACCTCCAAAGAGAACAGTTAAACGGAATATACCCAAGCTGGATGCTCAGAGGTACATTTACTATTTCCTTAAACATTTATTCCTTTTTTTTTTTTTAATGTTATTTTTTCCCCCTTATATTATTAAAAAACTTTTACTTAGGATGATTTGGAGATCAGTATTTGTCTTTTTTTTTTTTTTAATATTTATTTATTTATTTATTTGAGAGAGTAGGGGGCAGAGGGAGAGAGAGAATCTCAAGCAGACTCCCCCCTGAGCATGGAGCCCACTGTGGAACTTGATATAACGACCCTGAAATTATGGCCTGAGCTGAAATCAAGAGTTGGATGCTCAACTGACTGAGCCAGCCAGGCGCATTTTTTTTTTTTTTCCAGTTCAGCAGATAATATTTTTTCTTATGGTTTTGCTTTGGCCTTGAGGCTCTAGAAAACTTGAAATTCGAAACATATTTCTCTTCACAGATTAACTTCAGAGAGAGGGCTTCCAGCATTAAGGCATGTGTTTGATAAGGCAAAATTCAAAGGTAAAGGTCATGAGGTAAGAAATGTCTGATTTTTATTCTTTGTTCTTTCACATATCAGTAGAACTGTGGGCCCATGATCATGTTCTGAGGACTCTTAGAATGTTTCACAGATACCATCATTTATCATCATATCTCTTGAGAAACTAAGATGTACTGGAAAGTGTACTGCTTGAAGAATCAGAAAACATATCTTGTAGTCTCATTTTTGCCTCTGTATGGCTTTAGGAAAGTCACATCGAAGTCTGTAAGCTCTGAGTTTGTACTTTATAATTTCTAGGAATAAAACTGACTTAGTCTACCTTAAAGAGTGATTTTAGGCTTCAGGAGAGCAAGGACTTTACCTGTATCAATCACTTATGTGTCCCCAAGATATGACACATTATCTTGTCATGTGTCTGATTCATAATAGGCATCATTTAAGTTGAAAAATGAAGACATTTAAGAACTGTTGATCACTGTCTAAATGTGTTATTTTAAAGGTTCTTATCTTTTTTTTTTTTTAAGATTTTATTTATTTATTTGACAGAGAGAGACACAGTGAGAGAAGGAACACAAGCAGCAGGGGTGGGAGAGGGAGAAGCAGGCCTCCTGCCAAGCAGGGAGCCCGATGCAGGGCTCGATCCCAGGACCCTGGGATCATGACCTGAGCCGAAGGCAGACACTTAACGACTGAGCCACCCAGGTGCCTCCTTTTTTTTTTTTTTAAAGTAGGCTTCATGCCTAGCATGGAGCCCAGTGTGGGGCTTGAACTCATGACTGTGAGATCGAGACCTGGGCTGAGATTAAGAGTCAGATGCTTAACTGACTCAGCCACCCAGGCACCCCTAAAAGGCTCTTATCTTTGAATAATGTAGAGTATAGATAACAATTTTTTGCAGATATCTTTGTAGAGCTTTGCAGATTATGAAGTATTTTCAAATACTTTAATTCTCAAACCTGTAGAGTAGGTGCTGGTCCCATTATCTAGTTAAGGAAATTGGAATTTTAAGAGTTTTTTAAAAGATTTTATTTATTTATTTGACAGTGAGCACAAGCAGGGGCGTGGCAGAGGGAGAGGGAGAAGCAGACTCCCCACTGATCAAGGAGCCCGATTGGGGGTTCCATTCTAGGACTCTGGGATCATGATCTGAGCTGAAGGCAGCCGCTTAACTGACTGAGCCGCCCAGGCACTGGAATTTTAGAGTTTTCAGTGTCCAATGCCAACAGTTAAGGGGAGAGCTTAGACTTCCTCTTTCATAGCCCAGCTACAATAATGTTAATACAACAGTGAGCATCATCTTAGTGTGGTATGCAGGGTAATGGGAAACAGGGAAGAGGTTGGAAGCAGACAGCAATTCAGATACTGTCGCACTACCAGGGTGAAGGTGAACAAGGTGCAGATAGCCTGATAGGGTAGTAGTAGAGAGATAAACAACATACAGTACTTGTAGGCAATGGGATATGAGGAGGTAAAAAGTAAAAAATAATCCCAGGAGGGGTGCCCAGCTGGCTCAGTTGGTAGAGCATGTGACTCTTGATCTTGGGGTCGTGAATATAAGCCCCAGATTGGGTGTAGAGCTTACTTTAAATAAATAAATAAATAGATAGATACATACATACATACATACATACAAAAAATCCAAGATTTCAGAAGCTGGGAGGCTAAAAAATTCTAGTACCTTTGCTCAGCTTCAGCAGACAGGAAGAGAGAAGTCTGTATCCTATTTTGCCACAAAACTAAATGTAAATCAGGATATTTTAAAAGCATACCCATCTCAAAAAAAAAAAAAAAGAGGGACACCTACCTGGCTCAGTCAGTGGAGCGTGGGACTTGATCTGGGGTTGTGAATTCAAGCCCCAGGTTGGATGTAGAGCTTACTTAAAACAAAAACAAAATTCCAAACCATACTCATCTCAGTTAATTCATTGCCCTTGTTGAAATTTTCAGGTTGTAATGATGAATTGGTGCTTTGAATTTAATGAAGTCTTCATCATTTTCATAATAAGTACTTTATTAAAATAAATGAATTTATATGAAGGATAAAAATTTCGTGTTTCTTCACTGGGTGAGGGTGGGCTCCAGGCATTTATGCTTTTTAGTCTTCTGTACTTTGCCCTTGGAAATTCTTACTGTTTTGTCACAAAGTTGAATCCTCACTGCTTTTTTCTCCATGTATGACTTGGGACGTATTTAGGTGTTTCTCTTGTGACCCCAAGTCTAACATGACACTGTGAGGTGACTGACCAGCTCCCCCCAACAACTGGAAAATAATCTTAGGTGATTGAATTAAAAACAAACAAACTTTATTATCAGAATGAGAAGGATAACACATACTCTCAGTATTACTTTAATATATATGCTGCCGAAGCAAGCTCTTAGTATTACATGTTTAGTTACTGGTAGGGTTGACCATTGGCTTCTTAGACAAGATCAGATAACAACAATGATGGCCAGTATTTGAGTGTATACTTTGTGTCAGGCACTTTACTTGTATTACTTATTTCTCATAACCCTACCAAGTGTGTATAATATTATTCTCATACATGAAAAAGAAGGCACAGTGGCAAAGTGATTTGCTTAAAGTCATACAACTATTAAGTAGCAGGATTGAGATTTTGATTCTATACAGTGTGATCCAGAGCCTGTGCTTTTGACTATTCTATTTTTTTTAAGGATTTATTTATTTATTTATTTGAGAGAGCGAGAAAGAGAGAGAGAGAGTACATGAGAGGGGGAGGGTCAGAGGGAGAAGCAGACTCCCTGCCAAGCAGGGAGCCCGATGCGGGACTCGATCCAGGGACTCTAGGATAATGACCTGAGCCGAAGGCAGTCGCCCAACCAACTGAGTCACCCAGGCGCCCCGCAACTATTCTATTTTTTTTTTTTTAATTATTATTTATTTGACAGAGCACAAGCAGGGGGAGCAGCAGAGGCAGAGGGAGAGGCAGACTCCCCGCTGAGCAGGGAGCCCGATGTGGGACTCGATCGCAGGAGACCCAGATCATGACCTGAGCCAAAGGCAGATGCTTAACGGACTGAGCCACCCAGGCGCCCCTTGACTATTCTATTTTAAAATACTGTTAAGGGGCGCCTGGGTGGCTCAGTCAGTTAAGTGTCCCCCTCTTGGTTTCTGCTCGGGTCATGATCTCAGGGTTGTGAGATCAAGAGAGCCCCACATTGGGCTCCCCACTTAGTGGGGAGTGTGCTTGGGGATTTTTCTCCCTCTGCTCTTTACCCCCACTCGTGTGTGCAAGCTCTCTCACACACTCTTTCTCAAAAATAAATAAATAAATCTTTAAAATACTGTTAAGAAAAGAATAAAATATTTTACATTAAAACCAGGAATTTGGAATTTTGTTATTCATTAGTCCAGTTTATTAAACTTTGTTTTTCATTTTAATTTTTAAAAATTTTAGTGTTCAATTGAAATTTCATATATAAAGAGGAGTTGCTGAGAATGTTTAAACTGTTGTTAGTCTTTGTCCTTTGCCCTTGGGATTTCTGAATATATTTTCAGTTTTGAATTCTCAATGCTTTGTTCTCTATATATGATTTAGGGACCTGTCATTTTGTTTAGTTATTCCTAAAAGATATCTTGACATATTTTATTAAAGCTTATTTTCACATATTACTTTACAGTTCTGAAAAGATACATGATTATCCATCTGCCTTCAGCTCAGTTCATGATCCCTGAGTTCTGGGATCGAGCTCTGCATCAGCCCCACATCACATCTGGCTACCTGATCAGCAGGGAGACTGTTTGTCCCTCTCCCTCTGCCATTCCCCCTGCTTGTGCTCTCTCTTACACTCTCTCTCTCGCAAATAAATAAATTCTTTTTAAAAAAGATACATGATTATCTTTTAACTTTCGTTAAGTTTTTATACTGTTTTTTTTTTTTAATCATATCCAGTGCTCTTTTAGACTATAATCCTCTAAGCTCAATGAATAGTTCTCTTCTTAAAGTTTCTTCAGAAGTTTCTTAATCTTATAAATATAAAATGACACCAGTGACTTTGGCATTACTATTCAATTCTAAAATCTGCTGACAAGGTCAGTTGTGAGAACGAGTCTTCTATTTAGCATTTTTATTTTTATGTGCCAGGCTGAAGACTTGAAAACGCTAATCAGACACATGGAGCATTGGGCACATAGGCTATTCCCTAAACTGCAATTCGAGGATTTTATTGACAGAGTTGAATACCTGGGAAGTAAAAAGGAAGTTCAGGTAGGTGTTGAGATTATTATGAATATCATTCATAATGCTAAATAGTGCCAAGGATGGATTTTAGTTGAGGCTACATCACTGTTTGGCATTTTCATTTTGAAATCTGTCATGGTAGAAGAGAAGTTAATAGTAGTTATTTGATGAACAACTTTTTTGAAACTAAGAATTGAATAAATTCTCATTTTCCCCCAAATGTTACTGATGAAAATGTAAAAATACTCTTTATTTTCAGACCTGTTTAAAACGAATTCGCCTTGACCTGCCTATTTTACATGAAGATTTTATTAGCAATAATGGTAAGAATATAGGTTTATTTATAATAATTTTGCTTTTAGAAATAGATCTAGTTGGGGCAGGGGTAGATTAAGCACTGGGTTCTTCATCTATATTGAGTAATTGAGTAAACATAATTACAGTAAATAGGAATGAGTTAAAATGCCTTGGTACATCTAGAATGTTGTTTGACACTTGTTTCTTAAAGACATGCCTCCAGTGCCATTAAGAGATGTTGTAAAAATATATTGTCGGAGAACTTAAGCCTTTGAGAACTGATACCCACTGATCCTTTGTAGTGCTTTGTTAATGAAAATAAGTGACAAGATGTAGTGTTCATATACAGATACACCATTAAAAGTGGCTCTGGGGAATTAGAATAATTTGATGATGAAATAGTTTACATTTCCCCTAAGAGTACAGATCTAGTACACAGATGGTCCCAACTTAACAATGGTTTGACTTATGGTTGTTTGACTTTATGATGGTGCGGAAGTGATAGGCATTCAGTAGAAACCATACTTAGAATTTCAAATTTTGATTTTTTCCCCAGGCATATGTGCTGTGATGGTCTCTTGTGATGCTGGGCAGGAGTGGCCACACTGCCCAGCCAGCCACATGGTCATGAGGGTAAACAGCTGATAGACTGACCACCATTTTGAACCCATACAACCATTCTCTTTCCCACTTTCAGTACAGTATCCCATAAATTACATGAGGTATTCAGCACTGTATTATAAAATTGGCTTGTGTTACATGATTTTGCCTAACTAGGCTGATGTAAGTGTTCTGAGCACATTTAAGATAGGTGAGGCCTATTGAATCCATTTTTGACTTAAGATATTGTCAACTGATGATGGTCTTATCAGGATGTAACTCCATTTTTAGTTGAGGAAGCTTTCTCTAGGACTTCAGGAAGACCCATGTGACTGTTCCTGGTATTGATTGCATTTGTTAGTTGTACAGTGCAACCATAGGCGGTCACACACATCAAAACATATGGTTCCTGCCGACAGGGTCTGTATAGTTATCAGATTCTCTGTGCGATGGCTCCATACATGTTTGTTTGTTTTGTTTTTTAAACTTTAATAGATGTGGTAGAAAATACAGGCTCCCTGTAGAATCCCCCCAAGTTATTGGTAAATTGATTTTAAAAATGTGAAGAATTGTGATTTAACTAATCCAAGATTTAATATTTTGGTAAGATATGGTATGTATCACTGCCATAGGATTTGGTATATGGAAAGGAATTAATAACTACAGTAAATTCCACAGCACATACCACTGGGTTAGGTAGTTTATTTCAGTAGCAGTTTTTGAGCTGCATAGTATGTGCTTGAGTTTCAGGGATAAAGGTGAATAAGATCAGACCTCTTGCTTCAAGGGCTAGCAGACTAGTGAATGAGTGAGACATAACATTACCTGATAGGTGCTGAAATTAGAGAGAGAAACAGGGCATAGTGTAGGTTGCAAAGGAGAGTATAGTTGCTTTTACCCAGGGGAGGGGAAAGAAAACCTCACAGGACAAATCACAAGTACTTTGAATGATAAGCAGTAGAGTTCAGGCCAAGGTGATTTTCGAGAGACGGACTCATTTGTGCAGAGGCATAAGTGAACACGGGACTACTGATGGGATTATAGGCTTGCTGAAATACTGGATACATAGAAGAGGCCTCTATCATAGAGCCTTGTTTGTTGTTGAATCTGTCTTCTCTGTATTCTGAGAATGGTCTTCAGATTTTTTGGATAAAGGCACTACAACGGGAAAAGTGTTTTGAGCATTTTATTTATTTTTTATAGTACATGTACTACTGATATGATAACTAACACTTTTTTTTTTTTAAGATTTTATTTATTTATTTGACAGGGAGAGACACAACGAGAGAGGGAACACAAGCAGGGGGAGTGGGAGAGGGAGAAGCAGGCTTCCCGCTGAGCGGGGAGCCTGATGCGGAGCTCGATCCCAGGACCCTGGGATCATGACCTGAGCCGAAGTCAGACCCTTAACCGACCGAGCCACCCAGGCACCCAAAAATGCACATTTTTATTCTCACTAGAACATTACCATGAGGTTTTATTTATTTTTTTTTAAGATTTTATTTATTTGAGAGAGAGAGAGGAGGGTCAGAGGGAGAAGCAGACTCTCCAATGAGCAGGCAGCCCGATGCGGGACTCGCCCGGGACTCCAGGATCATGACCTGAGCCGAAGGCAGTCGCTCAACCAACTGAGCCACCCAGGTGCCCCTACCATGAGGTTTTAAAGTGAGAACAATATGACTTAATATCCTACTGAATATTTTATTTTCTCCAAAATTTTGGGCTGATACCTGATCGATGATTTGAAGATGTGGTTGTAGATACAGTTGTTCTCCCCTCCACCCCCCATCTTGGTTTTACCTTACTAAGATTCATCCAAATAGAAGTAGAGTATCCTTAACAGCACTTAATGTTTTCCCATCCCATTCACTGATGCAAGGATTTTTGTTGAAGTTCACAAGCGAATTATCATCTACCTTCTTTCAATCACTTGTTTTTCTTAAAAGTTAATCAGGGGTTAAATTTTAATATTTTTGACAGATGGATAGTCCTGTAACTCCTCTGCTTAGAGCCCTGTAGTGGCTCCTTATCTCACCCAAAATGAAAGCCAAAATCCTTATAATGTCCTCCTTGGCCCTTGGCCCTACAGTATCTATTCCTTACCCCACCTCCATTGCTTCTCTATCTTTTACAGTTCCCCACTCAAACTGCTTTAGCGACTACTTGCCTCCTAGCTGTTCTTTGAACCTCCCAGTCACATTTTTGTCGTAAGGATTTTGCACTCTTACACTCTGCCTTGAACATATCCTTCGTCCTCCTTCCCACCCCCAAGTCTGCATGGCTCTTATCCCCTTCAAACTGTGCTCAAATGTCAACTCAGTGAAGTTGTACTTCACTGGGAACCCCCAGCCCTGATTCTCCTATCCTTTTTCCCCATAGTACTTATTTCCCTTTAATTATATTTGCTTATCTGTTAGTTTATATGTGCCAAAATGATGGCATCGTGTAGCACGTTGAATATTTGTCTTAAGCTTCTTTGCCACAGTCGCTTGCCTGTTAATGTTGCAGTGAGTGAATTTCATGTGTGGTTCTAATTTTTTTAATCCCATTTTTATCAGTCACTCTATCAGTGGTTATGTTCACATTGGTTTCCCATAAAATATTGTATTAAAGAGGCCATGTACTATGGAAGAGATGACTCTTTTCATGGCTCACAAACAGTAGTTCTTTACGTATGTCATTACCATTAACTCGGAATCCTGTACACCCTGTAAGGTGAAGCATAGTAGAAACCCCAAAATTGCATAATTTGTTCTAATACTTGTTTAACTTCTCTAGCAATGTTTTCTCCCTGTACCCCATCAATATTTCCTGACAAAGGAATACATCTTAGTTTCTTGCTACATTTTTTTTTTTTTTCCATGTCAGGAAGGACAAGTGTATTGATTTTTGTCTTTCACTGTTAAGGAAGAAACATCAAAAGGGATTTGGTTGTAAAATTAAATATCAAAGGATTTTTAAACCTCACCGGAATAATTATAAAACACCTGTTTTAAACGTTTGCTAGTTGTGATGGTTTTTACTATATTAGCTAATACCTCAAGGCACAGTATATATATAGAATAAGGTTAGTGTGTGAAAATTCATATTTCAAATGGTGGTCTGGGTGGTTTTTTGTTTTTTTTTTTGCCTACTTGTCAGATCAGATGACATCTTTTTTTTTTAACCCTGTAATGTGAATGATGTAGGAAGAAGGTGAAGTGCTGTTTTCTTAATTGTTTGTTTCTCTATTTTCTACCTTCTCTTCTATATATTGTTATTTTCAAAAATCTTTTTAAGCTACCACTTGTGCATTTTGTTGGGGTTGTTTTGGTGTTAAAACTAGACAGTCTGCTTAACTGGGCGATCAGAATCAGCTGTATGTCACGGTATGCTGAAATTTAAAAAATGAGTGAGGGCCCAGCTCTCGTGTGGAGCTGTCTGCTTTTAAGGTAGCACCCAGGCCACACAGTAACTGTCATATGGATAAATGATAGTTTGTCACTGCCTGTCTTTCTTCTAAGTTAGTTCAATAATTTTAAGTTCAATAATTTTTCTAAATTCTTTTTTTTTTTTAAAGATTTTATTTATTTATTTGAGAGATAGAGAATGAGAGAGAGCACATGAGAGGGAGGAGGGTCAGAGGGAGAAGCAGACTTCCCACCGAGCAGGGAGCCCGATGCAGGACTCGATCCAGGGACTCCAGGATCATGACCTGAGCCGAAGGCAGTCGCTCAACCAACTGAGCCACCCAGGTGCCCTGAAAGATTTTATTTTTAAGTAATCTCTACACGCATTGTGGGTCTTAAACTCACAACCCCAAGATCAAGAGTTGCATGCTCTGACTGAGCAAGCCAGGCACCCCTCCTTTTTCATTTTGTGTGTTTTACCCTATTAAAAAATAGCTTATATAAAATTATTACTGTGTTATATAGACACTACAGCAAGCTATTAAAATGTTTTTGTTTCAGGTAAAGCAAGAATATGGTTTGGATTCTTTTAAGTTCATTAGCCCAAGCAGAAAATATTTTCTAATCATAACTAAGAACTTGTGCTTTCTGTTGATGCATATTTTTAAACTAGTAGTTCCATTTGACTTAAAATGTCTCTTTAAAATGATTTATAAGGGCGCCTGGATGGCTCAGTCGGTTAAGCGTCTGCCTTCAGCTCAGGTCATGATCCCGGAGTCCTGGGATCCAGTCCTGCATCGGGCTCTCTGCCAAGCAGGGAGTCTTCTTCTCCCTCTCACCCTACCCCCTCTTGTGCTCTCTCTCTCTCTCTCTCAAATAAATAAAATAAAATCTTAAAAAAAAAAAGTGATCACTCCTCTTTAAAAAAAAAATAAATAAAATGATTTATAAATATTCCTTTTACTTGTTTGAATCAAGCACATACAGGTGTCCCTTGAATACCACAGGTTTGAATTGAGCAGGTCCACGTACAGATTTCTTAAGGGTCAGTACTGTAAATGTATTTTCTCTTCCTTATGCTTTTCTTTAATAACATTTTCTTTTCTCTAGCTGACTTTAAAAGTATAGTATAAAATACACATAGATAATATGTGTTAATTGACTATGTTATTTGTATTCTGGTCAACAGTAGGCTATTAGTAGTTAAGCTTTGGGGGAGGCAGAAGTTCTATGTGGATTTTTGACTGTGCTGGGGGTCGGCATCTCTAACTGCTCTGTTGTTCAAGGGTCTTCAGTATTTGGAACATTCTCACACGCCAGAGCAATTTGAAGAAACAAATAGTTTCTTCAGGTCTGGCATCTTGTTACTTTAAACTGGTTTTTAACTAATAGCTGCATTAAGCTTTTTCTAACTAAAGATGTACTAACTTTCATCTCTGCTGCAGATGAAGGAGGAGAAAATCATGGCCATGATGTAACTGCTACCCAATCAGATCCCTTTTTGACAAACTCATTGGAAAGTGAGAATTTTGCTTCTGAGTCAGGTAGAAGCCTAACAGAAGAACAACAACAGAGAATTGAGAGAAATAAACAACTGGCCTTGGAAAGAAGGCAGGCAAAGCTACTGAGTAACAGTCAGTCCCTCGGAAATGGTAAATTTTATGCTGGGTTTTATGTGCTACCGTTAATATATTAGGGGCATGTTAGAAATTTTAACTTCTCTACTAGCTGCAAAATAAAATGCCTCTAGGAATAGAAAAATCTGATATATTAAGTTTATGTATATCTGAGAAAGAGCGTGTGTGTGTGTGAGCATGAGCTATTTGGAATCCTCAAAGAATAAATGAATCCAAGATGGTTCTCTGGATAGCGGAGTACCTCTTAAAAATGTTTTTTAATCACTTCAACTTGATTCTGAATCTTTCAAAAATACATTCTTCCCTGACTCCTTAAAGTATGTGACACGTATTTTATCTTTATTTTTTTAAAAGATTTTAAAAATTTGAGAGAGAGAGAGAGTGCACAAGGAGGGGAGGGGCAGAAGGAGAAGCAGGCTCCCCGCTCAGCAAGGAGCCCGACGTGGGGCTTGATCCCAGGACCCTGGGATCATGACCTAAGCCAAAGGCAGATGCTTAACCAACTGAGCCCCATATTTTATCTTTAGCATCATAATTTTGAACATTCATTATTATGATACTTTCCTAAACATATAGAATGCCTTGTGCACCCTTTGAGGATTTTAGAGCCATTTGCTGTGACTTAAATAGGTCCTTACTTTTTATTGCATTGTGTCATTTACTGTCAGTTTGCTTATCTGATGCATTCTCTTCTATTTTAAAACTGTCTTAAGGGCTGCCTGGGTGGCTCAGTCGTTAAGCGTCTGCCTTCGGCTCAGGTCATGATCCCAGGGTCCTGGGATCGAGGTCTGTGTCAGGCTCCCTGCTCAGCGGGGAGTCTGCTTCTCCCTCTGTCTGCCGCTCCCCCTGCTTGTGTGTGTGCTCTCTCTCTCTCTCGTAAATAAAAAAAATTTTTTAAAAAAGAAAATAAAACTCTTAAAATGTGCTATTTTTAAAACAGATTGGGTTTGCTAATGCAAATTGGTTTTGAATGAAGCAGATTGCATGTATTTCTCAATTTCCAATGTAGTTTTCCTTTTGAAATGGGAAAATAAGAATTATGGTTAAGTAGTGAAGATACCATGTTATAAAACAAGTTTCACCCAAGATAATAAAATTTGCAAGTGAAAATTAGTGTAACTACTTGTTGTTCTTTGCAATTAAAATCAGCTTAATCTTCAACTTTACAAATGGAGATTTTATTACTACCACGTGAAAAATTACATGAAGCTCCACGTATCACTGATGGCAGTTCCTTTGCTGTCATTAGCAAAGTGTGCCTGGCAATAAGCATTTTAAGGCTCATCTTCTATTTATAACATATGACTTAAAATTTGCCTAAATAGAAATAAGGATCCTAAATTTTCTTTGCTAGAGATCACTTTGATGTATAGCTGTTAAGAGCATTTTTTTTTTTGAGCATTTGATTTTTAAAAACTTTTATCTAATAGCTGTGATTATTGAATGAGAACAGTTGCATTTGGCTATGATTCAAGAGTGAGTTCAGTACCTTTCAAGACTTGCATTTTTGAGTGGCCTTGATACGTGTATAAAAATGACTATTTGGAAGAAAGTGATCATAAATTTTATTTCCACTGATAGAAGCTTGTGGAGAGATTTATATTTATCAGGTCAGATTGGATCAGGTGCTTATAAGGAGTAATGATGATGATTTCTCTTTCAGACTTGTTAATAAATACACCCAGGACACAGACCATTGAAGAGGTTAATACAGGTGAGGATCAAGAGGAGGAGTCATTAGATGGATTTAACAAAGACATTCTAGACCATCCACATAATAATGCTGCTGCCAATGCTGTAAATGAGGAGGAGCAATTAAAAATAGAGAACACACAACTGGACCAGTCCTTTTAAAATGTACAGTAGAACTTTATGCTTTATCCAGAAATGTTACTGAGGTTGGATAGGCTTCAACTAAGAGAAAATCCATTAACCTGCTATCCTCTAAGTTTTAGATTAGTATGTATTTTGTCTGCTTGGAGTGAAAATCCTTATGTAGTAAGACTTTCACAGATTCCGATTTAAAATATGGTATTACTTATACTTGTTTCTTATTAACTTTAGTTGAGCCTATTTATTCTCTTTAGTGTTTATTTTTATATAGATATAACTTTATAAAAATGATTAGTAATTAAAGCACCTTCTGCTGCTAGTGTGCTACTGAATGTCTTGTTTTCACTAAATTGGAGGTTTTGAGATGTAAATATGTAATGAATATTAATGTCCATTTTTTTAAAAAGAAATAAAAATCTTATAAACTATCTCTAGAGGCTTTATGAAAGTTTCTTACTGCTATTTAGTTCTGCAATTATACTTTCGGTAAAATGTTTAAGGTTTCTATATGTGTTTACATGTATTCTGAGGAGTCACTTTAAAAGGGTCACCTGAGGGCGCCTGGGTGGCTCAGTCGTTAAGCGTCTGCCTTCGGCTCAGGTCATGATCCCAGGGTCCTGGGATCGAGTCCCACATCGGGCTCCCTGCTCGGCAGGAAGCCTGCTTCTCCCTCTCCCACTCCCCCTGCTTGTGTTCCTGCTCTCGCTATCTCTCTCTCTGTCAAATAAATAAATAAAAATCTTTAAAAAAAAAAATAAAAGGGTCACCTGAAAGGCTGTTGTCTTGCCTGGCCTGTGTTGGTGCTAGGGGAGTTCACATGCTCCTTGATACCTTACTGACTAGTGGGAGAAACTTGCAAAGCATCATGAGGAACACAGAGCACCTAGGGAGGATCCACATAGGGCGCCTTTGCGTTTGTGGAGGAGAACCCAAGGATTGGGAAGGACATGTCTAATAATGATACAGAAATGGAAATCTAGGAAATAAAGACTTGGGAATGGCAAATATGAGGCTAGAAGTGTTAGGGCCAGTTGGTGAGAAGATCTGATTGGAGTTTTTCCTGCCTGAGTTTATCAGCTTGGTGGAGGAGTAAATTACAGATAAAGTGCCATGTTGACAACTGAGTTTAAAGGTCTTTCTAGTTCATGGCAGATTTTGATGGGCAACAGGGAAAGGCAAAGCAAGTTTTTACAAACTAGGAGATGGGAAGTTTGCTTTTTTTTTTCCCTTTCTTTTTTAAGATTTTATTTTTTTAAGTAATCTCTACGCACAACATGGGGCTCGAACACAACCCTGAGATCAAGAGTTGCATGCTCCACCAGCTGAGCCAGCCAGGTGCTACGGGAAGGTTGCTTTTTATGAGAGAGACTGGCACGGTGATGGTGCTGAAGTGGCTTTGGTTTCTACCTGTGAAGCTGGGACAGGCAGGCATCTTAATGCCATCAGGCTTGCTGACTTCTGTTGGGGATGGAGAGTGACAAGGATGGTTTGGCTGAAAGGCAGGAAGTTGAGCACAAGAACATACAGGTTGGGGGTGAGGGAGCCTCTGTGGCTGGCTGGGGACTGGCCTAGTGGCAGACTAAAAAGTTACTCTTCCAGGGTGGGACATACTGGCAAAGTAACAAGTCTTCAAAAGGGGCAAGGCCAATGCAGCTCCATCCAAGGAGTACTCAGCAAAATGAGAGTGTGGAAAGGGAAGTTTGCGACAACAGACCTTACCTGTGCACTCCACCCCACTCCCTGTGCCTTGTCCCCAACTGGTGTGGGGACAGCAGGGGAGGTTTGAGTCACATGAAATAGGAGTTTTAAAGTGGGCAGGTGGACAGAACTGTCTTACCTGAAGGCAACTGAAAAGTTAATCTGACAGCTGTCAGAGGGGCCTAGGACCCAAATGGCCCAGAGGAGCAGTTACTAGAAAAATTAAAACTTATTTTGAAAGAATGGATTTGAGACAAGCTAATCAAAAATCAATTCTGGATTTATTAAAAGAGACTGGCAATCTGACTTGCAGAGTCACCATTCACGATCTCTGCATTTCTGAAAAATCAGTTTCCGCAGGGATCTAACTTCTTTTTAAAGCAGCTTTAATTAATGATGAGAAAACGTTTTGCGCATTGGTGAACCGCATCCCAATTGACTAGAACATTAGGTGACATGCAACATTAGATGTTAAGGTTAGAAAGAAAGTTGAAAGCGTTCTCAAAACAGCTCTTTTAATGAAGTAAAAAGAGTATCTCACATTCCATAACTGTTGGAAACATCCAGGAGAGCTAGATCCCTTATCTCCTCTAGGAGTGTGTACAGGCTTCTTCCCTTTGTTTGGCAGTATTTTTGATAATCTTCCTGAATGACGTTTACTTTGACTTCTTGGGCAAGCTGAGCTTCCTCCACAGATCTAGTTACTTCTTTCACTAAATCATTCTTTAACAAGAGGGAACTCTGATGAAAAAGTTCTGTATCTGGTATCATGTACGGTTTGTTGCTTATTATTTCAAGCCTGATTGTATCAGAATGGCAACGGGAGGCCTGTACAGATATTCTCACCTATCACAGAGGAGAAAATGCATATTACCAAATCACATTCTTTATATTTGACGTCGAAAACAATGCTTAATGTAAATATGGACTTACTGTTACATGGTCAAACAGATGGAACGTGACAGACTCCCCGCCTGTTGTGGTAGAGGTGATTTTGTTTTGAAATCGTTGAAGGGATCCCGGTTTCCATTCCGAACGGCTGTCTGAGCCACATGAGATCACCAAACCATCTTTATTTCTTAAATAAGCAGCACCTTTAATCCCAAACCTGAATCATTGCCAGAATAAAAATCCAGAGATAATGTATTCTTAGTATACAAATCTTGTACACTCAACCTAGAATGCTAGTTTTTATTCTAGATCAAAAACGACTTTTCCTCTCATTTACCTCCAAATACTTCACTGAGCAGATAGAAAAATATTTTGCTAAATAAGGAAGTAAAATCCTATCTTAACACTAATACAGATGTACTAGATGCTAATCTCCTTTTATACTGTTTTTTAAGTAGGAGCCCAACATGGGGCTTGAACTCACGACCCTAAGATCACAACCTGAGCTGAGATCAAGAGTCAGATGCTTAACTGAGCCATCCAGGCACCCCTCCTTTTATACTTATATCGTGCATTATTCTATTACATTATGTACATCTGTACCTACAAATAGTTGTTATATTTTAACGAGTTATATCTAATGTACTGTTTGTGTTCTACACTTAGTTTACTATGATTTTTTTTTTTTAAGATCTTATTTTTTGAGAGACAGCACAAGCACAGCGCGGGGAGGGGCAGAGGGAGAGGGAAAGACTCTGCTGAGCAGGGAGCCCGATGCCGAACTCAATTCCAGGACCCCGAGATCATGACCTGACTGAAGGCAGACGCTTAACCGACTGAGCCACCCCGGCGCCCCGAGTGTAACTATGATTTGTTAACAGCTATTATGTTAGATGTAACATACCTTGGTATAAATACAAGCACACCATTTGTTCTAATTGAATATATAACCCCATCAGATATGCAACGCTCCTCATTCTCTGGGTCTTTGTCTTTAAAATACATGCACTGGAAGAGCTCAGTAGATTGCTTCTGAGAATGCTGTGCTGCCTGTAAGAAGAAGCACATTCCCGGGGGAAACAGAATTCATACCCCCACAGAAACGATGTCTTTAAAAAAAGGTTGGACTCTAGAAAAGTATTAATACAAATATTCTTCTCTATTATGAATTAAATCAGTTTTGTGGGAACCTAACCATCCAGCAATCTTTCCCTCAAAAATGTCTTTTTTAGAAAATTAATTCTTTAAGAAAAAACCTGTTTTTATTTAGAATCTGTTACAGTTCATTCAGGTAGAGGAAAGGACCCGTATCTATGCCTTGCCTTTATTTTCAAGTCTGTTCTACCGTAGTCCTGCTGGTGCAAGTATAAATTAGTATTGCTGTCCTGGAGGGCAAGTTGGTAATTGTATCAAAGTTTTATTTGTGCACACCTTCTGAGTCAGCAATTCATTATTGCCAGGAATATATCCAGGCAACAATCTGAGAAGTCTGTAGAAGTGTATATACAAGGATGGCTATAAACTGGGTTGCCCAGAACAACAGCACTGCCTAACAGAACTTTCTGCACTGATGGAAATGTTCGATACATCTGTGTTGCCCCAAAGGTAGCCACTAGCCACACATGTCTAGGAGCATGTGAAATGTGGCTCGTGCAACCGAGGAACGGAATTTTTAATTTTTAAGAATTTAAATAGCCCCTATGGCTAGTGACTATAATATTGCACAGCAGTGAACTAGAATACAGGATACAAAAACTGTATTAAACATTTAGGTAGTTTCCAATTTTTCTGTATCACCAAGTGCTCTCCTCTATGCTGTACAATATTATAGCCACTAGCCAACAATATGAAATACAATACAAAGCAGCTTCTAAAAGAAAGATGTCATTGCTCTGAAGTGATGCTGTCAGTAACAGATTTGTCAAGTGCAAAAGATTTCAGAGAGCAGGTATGGTACCATTTTTTGTTGTAAATAAAAAAAGCATTGTCTGGAATAGTGAATAATGCCTATCTCGGGGTGGTAAGATGATCCGTGGTCTTTCACAGGTCTACTTTTTGGGAAAAACATCTAACCTATTGTTAAATCTCCTAAACCCACATTAAGTGATTTCATAACATCTATAAATGTATTGAGAGCAACACAAGAAACTTTACAATTTTTCATGTTATTTCATTGGGGAGAATAATGCAGAATTTAATGCGCTAGAATATATGGCACTTCGTTCCACCACATAATAAAACTGATATTCTCTTAGCAAAAGAGATGATGGGTAAGAGAATTTAAAATCCCCTCTTACTCGGTTTCTGTTGTTGATGTGTCTGCATAATTCCTCAAGATCTTTGTTGCTGAACAAATTGTCCTTAATTTCCATTTTCTTATCTTTCGAAATGGCTGCCATTAACAATCGGTGTACTACTATATCTGCGTATCTTCTGATCGGAGATGTAAAGTGAGTATATTTATCTAATGCAAGGCCTTCAGAAAGAAACCAAAAGATGGAAATCAACAAAAAAATATAGTTTTTAAACGACCTGCTCAAGGTTATGGCCACACAAAAGGAAATGCTATCATTCACCATAATGATGGAACTCTTCCTCCGCACACGACCCAGTGGAGAAATACAGTGCATTAGACATGGCCTGCGTGGCCATGGATCGCAGCAACCTGTTTACGATGGGATCGTTGGGGTCATTCGCATTATCCAGAGAATCAGCCAGTGTTTTATTGGACCTGACAAAAAAAATCGGAAAGACCTTTATTTAGTCCCCAGCAACAATGTACACGTCAATACTCTGAGGGAAATCTTTCACTCTGAAGAAATTTTATTTTGGATACATTTTAGAAGCAACTCTTTTCAACTATAGCAATGTAGTTTGCTTTTAAGGTTGAAACAAAGGAAGTATATCAATTTAAATAATATATATATATTTTTTTAAGATTTTATTAGAGAGGGTGAGAGAGCACAAGCAGGGGGAGCAGTAGAGGGAGAGGGAGAAGCAGGCTTCCCACTGAGCAGGGAGCCTGATGTGAGGCTCGATCCCAGGACCCTGAGATCATGAGCTGAGCCAAAGGCAAACGCTTAACCATCTGAGCCACCCAGGTGCCTCTAAATAACATTTCTGAAGTAGTTAAGAGCAATGTACTGATACCTATGTGGTTAGCTTAATGCCCAGCACATAGTAG